GCAAAATAATACCTTCTGCAGCTGTAGCACCTACACATGGACGTAGGAAGGGTGGATGTGGTGGGTGCGGTCCGTCTCGGGTGCCATCTCTGAGAGGGATGACAAAATGCTTTACGGTGCTCAACGTCTGTGAGAGACGCTGTGGCTTTCGGGTGCGCAGGCTTCCCGCTGCAGAAATGGTGTGCCTCAGCTCCCCTTCAGCTGTACGGTGGCAGGCAGACTCGTCGCAAGGCACGTGATCTCTGCAAAAGAAGCTTAACAACTCTGGCTCCTCCCAAAAAGCTCAACAACTCTGGTCGTCCCCCCCAAAAAATGAAATAAAGTCAAACCATTGGGGAGGGGGACAAGAAATTTTCCGCACCAGGTACCACTTGACCTTGCTACTCCACTACACCTACACTGCATACTGACCTCAGGCAGACACCTTCACACTTTCCACCTCCTGCTTAAAGCATGTGTGCTTAGGCAAGCCTATTGAGCCATATGCCTTAATCTATTTTTAGTTTATTATTTTTTATAGTTAGTTTTAGAATGTTTTCAGGTACCTGTTTTAAACTGTCTTTTATTGATTAATTATAATGTGTTTTGCTTTGTAAACCATTGCGACGTGTGTGTTTTTTGCAAAATAAAAAAAGAGCCTGACTTGTGAGTAATGCACGAATAGGAATGCACACACTTAACTACAGCAACCAGAAACTGTTATGGTTCTTAAGATGGTGAGAGGTTATGGGGCGGGGGGAGAACGCTGTGATATTCAAGGAACAAAACATTTTGGGTACACACACCAATTTGCTTGAAGATGTACATCTCTCTAAAATGAACTAGAGCACCCAATGTTACTTAATGAGAATGTAGGCACTGCACTGCCTTTAATAACATGTACAATAGTTACCCATTTTTAAATAAGATTCTTTGAGTCATGCCATTGCATAGTGCTAGCTGATTTTGTATCTACTATGTGAAGGGGATGTGGAAAGTATAAGCAAACTCTATTCACCATTTCCTGTTATTCATTCACTTAAGTCTCATTCTCAAACATTACTTGAGGGAGTTTTTTTTTTCCTGTGCATGTGTCATTTAAAAGTATATAAGCATCTGTCAACAGAAGCCCTTTATTTCTCATAACAAGAGAACTCTGTTTATAAAGTGACACCAGCTGCTCAAGCCAAATGGGTTCTATTAGAGCTAATTTAATTTTACATAAGTTGATCTATTTGCATTTTGAGTCTCCAGTTACAAAACAAGGTGCTACTTTATAGACTAATTCAGCTTCAAGCTTCAGTGTATGGACAATGCTTAATCAGTGTGTACATCAGGAAATAAACATAATCACCAAGTATACTAATTAAGCCTGGAAATTTTGCAACATGCATACACTGTATGGATTAACAAGGCAATTCATTAAAAATCTTAATTGTGAATATTATATTTTCCGTACATTTTATTTCATGATGCTTCAGATGAATCTTCTGTGAATACACAAGCCAGCTATCCTTTCTAGAGTAGATGGTGAAATCAGACACATCTGTCTAGCATTCAGCCTGCAAGCCTCTATGGAAAATGCACTTTGTTATTATTCTGCCAGATATAACCTGATATGCTTTGTAGAGGAAGTGAATGAATGCAAACAATGACAATAATCAAGTGTGGATAAAAAAAATTGCAAAGAAACTCGCATAATTAACATGCAAAAACAGAATACCAAAAAGACTATTTGGATTATTGAAGAAGTAACTTTACATTTATTTATTTATTTTTTAAAAAGAGCGAAATAGATGGTTGTAGGGGGTTGTAGGGTTGTATTTTATTTTTAAGAATGTCATCGATAATTGTCTGCACTTTCTTTAGAGCTTGAGTGTCATAGTGGACAAGATACTGTGCTGTGAACCTACCTATCTATCTATAAGGTTGATGAATGAAGAACAGATTGAAAATAAAATAGCAAGGATCATTGCATTATATACATAAGACCATTTTTGGTGTGGCCACATCTGGAAATGTGTGATGCTTTGGTTGCCATGCTTCAAAAAGGATGCCACACACAGAGAAAAGTACATAAAAGAGTAAATATACTATCATGGGGTTGGTATCATCCAAGTCAAAATGGGGGGCATTTAGTTTGGTTTGCAAACCTGCCTAATTATTTATTCCCAAAACAATATGTGAAACAAAGTGTACCCATTCTTTGAAAAAACAGACAACTTTGAATTTTGTTATGCAGTTCCTTAATGAAATGAAGTATAACAAAACGTGCATATTAGGGCAACGCGTGTATAAAAATTAGGGATGGGGAAAATTCTATTCAGTTTGCATTTTTAGGCATATCTACATCTTTCAGAATTCCTGAAACAGTATGCAAAGCAAAATGCAATCATCCTTCAAAATTTGCGCTTCTCTGAATTTTGCAAAGCATGTCTCCAACCAAGTAATGTGCATACTAGACAAAGTGTGCATAAAAGAGAAAAGCGTGCATAAAGTGTGAAAATAACATACAAAAATGCATTATATTATGGTTGCTTGCAAAAATTTGGGGAAATTGCATACAAAAAGGCATACACCAGGAGAAATTCTCACTAAAATACTGGTGAATTTTCATATTAAATTGCACATGAGTCTAGATGTGGGTCCAGTTCAGAATTGGCAGAATTTTGCTTCTATTCCTACTTATGATAAATTAAAGCGCCTATATTTCTGCTATATCTGTTATTATAGATAATGGTCCTGATGCAGGCTTCCCATAAGCATCCAATAGACCAGGCATAGGCAAACTTGGCCCTCCAGATGTTTTGAGACTACAATTCCTATCATCCCTGACCACTGGTCCTATTACCTAGGGATGATGGGAGTTGTAGTCCCAAAACATCTGGAGGGCCAAGTTTGCCTAGGCCTGTGATAGACCACTGTGAGAACAGGATGCTGGACTAGATGGGTTGACCCAGTAGGGCTTCTTTTATGTTCTCAGGGTCAAGTTTGTGTTCCCTGTTGCATCCAAGAATGCAACAGAGAGATGCTCACTACTTTTACCTAACAGAAAAAAATATGGGACAGTCCAATATGCGCAAAAGTCTAGGTATTCACTGAAACCCTACAGAGCTCTTGGATCTAATGGAGATACTCTGCTATCCTCTACTTCTCTCTTTATTGTGGCTTTAAGAAAATGGAGACAGATGTTTTTGGGAAAAGTTCATTTCAAGTTTAGAATCATTTGTTTCACTTTATCAATTATAAAGTGTTTTGGTCTTAGAGCAATCACATTGCCATGTCACCAAACCATGCAAAATGCATTCTGTCATCGGCTGAAGGTCCAAAGTATAATAATTTTTTTCATCATGGGCATGAAAAGTGCAGCCAGAATAAATTGTATCCATGGTAAATAATTCCTTCCATACCTTAAAAGTTGCAGGATTTATTTAGACTGTCGCTGCCACAGAGCATCACCATATGTCATAGCTGGCTTGACATGGCGTAAAGGCCATTTTAAGCAACTGATGGAAAAGTCATTAAGTCTCATCTTTGTTAAAAGCAACAACTTCTTGGATTAGTGAAAACAGCAGTAGCATGGGGAAGTTTATTGAAAGAAGAGCGAGGAAAACTGATTTCAGGGCAATTTTGACAGGTTAAACACACTTATCCTACTACTTGTTTACTCTCAACTGACCTCTACCAAAGGGAGTTTTTATTTTAAAAGAAAATCAAAAAAATTAACATGTAATTAGCCGTGAGTGAAAATGTGTGTAACTTGCAGTTTGAGCCTTAAATACCACATTGATAAAATAAATGCACCTTGAGATAAAAGTGTTGTAATGACTGCATTGTTAAAATAAGCATACTTTGAGATACAACTTTCATTAAATTAGCTCCTAGGTGTAATACTTGTGATTATTATTTTTTAGAAATAAGCAAACAAGAGAGGGGATACAACTTTCTTATGTACAGGTTAGGCATGAGAGGGCTCAACTGTGGCAGTCTGAAGCAGAATACTAATGAGACTGTAAACTGGGGTGAAAGGGGCTAAAGGGAATGTGGGGCCTAAAATCCAATGGTAGGTCTTCTATGCCAAAGACTCCAAATTCAGCCACTGGAATCCCCAGGTAGAGCTGGAAAATAATATCTCACTCATGCTTCCAATCACATTCTAATCAAATCAGAACTGTTCCAAAATCCCTTTCCCCAGTTTCCCAAAATAGGTTTATCTCCTGAAACCTTATGAATTCAAAGGGCTAAAGAATGAGCGCTGAGTTGCTGTGTGATGGATAATAAAAGAATGTTTGGCAATAGTTTAAAGGAGGCAGAGGCACTAACTTATCAAGATGATTAAGAGGGCCCAACACAATGTCCTGACTTCAGGCATGCAACATTGTGAGGAGTGGTCCCCTCAAAAAACCCCAACAGGGAGCCCCAAAGTGTCTTGGCCCCCTGGAGCTGATGCCTATGAAAGGAGGAAATGGAGGCAAGTGTCCTAAACCAACATATATGGTGGGGAAAATTAAATCTCCACTGACCTGCTGTCTGTGAAAGCAGGGAGATATGATTGCATCATTAGAAAATATTATTGGATCACATACCGGATCACACACCGGCTCAATTGCAAATATTATTTCAAATAATGTTTTTTGATCATTTAAAACAGCTGGTTGCATGCTGAAAATAACCTTTCATTTGTAACACAGGAAACAATTCACTCCTTCTTGAAATGTACTACTTAATACTGAAATATCAGGGTTGTTAATACTAGGAGAACATCTCTAACCTCTGACTAAATTTTACTTTGCGAGACAACTAGCATTCTCATAAATGCAATAAATAATTCAAAGCATCACCAGTTGAGTCATGATAGGAGAACCTCAAAGGATTAGGGAAGACAGAGCTGAAACAGCATTCTGTAGAAGTGATCAAGGCTTACTTATGGCTGGTGAGAAAGATTGCACTTTCTGAATGCTTTTCAGTTCTGCTTCTTCTTTTCTTTTCTTTTCCTTTCTTTTCTTCTCTTTTCTTTTTTGCATCTTTGGACATGAACACACTGAGCATCACATCTTCAGAACTTGAAGGGTTTTGAGCAGTTACATCCAGGACCATCCTCATGTTTGAGGGGAACCTTGACAAAATGTTGTCTGATGGTCCCCTTCTACCTCAGTAGGCTCTTAGTTATGGGCTTAGCTGACAGTAATGGTGGGCGGCCATTTTCCTTTCCCACAATGCTCTGGAGTGAAAAAAATGACTACCCACCACTACCAGATATGCCCATAGCCAGGAAACCATGGCAGGTGCCTGCACCAGCAGGCTCTCTTAAGGAGCTGGGGCTCCAACAATAGACCCAGCATAATCTTCATCATTCAGTTAAGGAAGACAATGTGTGATCTATCTGTGTGCTATCTGAAACCCAAGGGATGTATTAGTTGCCAGATGCAGAATATATTGGCATTATTTTCAGCTCTCCTACTCCACTAGAGACTAGGTCTGTTCTGAAATGTGTTAAGCAGAACAGGTGATGATATCCCTTGTGGAGAATGGGAACTGCGAGGATAGGTGCCTTTTGCCCAGGCAGGTGCATTATGTGACCCACAAGAGCAGCAGAATAACCAGACTGACAACAGTGATGGGATAAAATCAGGCCAAAACTTTATTGACAGAAGCAGGCAGGGCAAGTGTTGGCATGGCATTGGGTCCCAGGATACGTTCATCATTCCATAAACCCCACGTTAATGGAATGGATGCGCTGGGTTTGGATCACTCCAAACCTGTATGATGGGACTCGGCCAGTGCTGAACCTTGCTGTGCTGAAACCCAAGCAAGCAAGGTCTCACTGGGGGACCAGGGTGAAGATTCCAACCAGGCAGACACCTCAACCTGAGCTTGCGTTTGCCATGGTCAATCCTCCCCTCAGGCCCCTTATGCCCCCCCATACTATGTTGATCTTGCCCAGTGCCAGTTCTGCCCTCATACAAACAATGTTCCTCCACCTAACAAAGGAAGGCCATAATTTCACTGAGGGAAAAGGTGAAAAAAGCCCAACCCAACCAAGTGTCAATCAGGTCGAGAGGGAGAAAAAAAACATTTCTGGCCCTGTCAACCAGCGACCCAAAATTGCTCACTGAAGGCTCTAACCCGGAGATAGGTGGACAGGAAGCTCTCAAAGCAAAGTGGCTTTCCCCTCCCCTCTGCAGCAAGGGATCATGGGACAGCTTTTTCCTATGAGCCCATCAAAAACACCTTGCCCAGTATTTTGTTGCAATCTATGGGCCACAGCACCGCCAGGCAAAGGCGTCCTGTGCTTATTGGGCATGGAACGGGACTCATTATCTGCGAAATAAATGTGTTTGCTGTGCAGCTTCATTCAGAGCAGATTACATGTGAAAAGATATGAGCAAGTTAAATCTGCTCTAATAAACAAAAATAACATACTCAGATACTCTTTATTAAACTGAACAAAGCCTGTACTACCAAAGCCACAGCAAACAACAGTTTACATCCTATGAATTATGGTGTCCAGCTGTTGGACTGCTTATGCTGTGGGTATAGCTGGGTTTAGTCATCACTGCCCTCAAATGGAGACATTCAGATAACATGGGTGCCTTATAGGAGAATAGATATTTTCCTGCTGGTGTCACCTTGGACAGAAGGAACACTGTGCACATGTGCTCAAGCTCTGCTACTTGGTTCTGGGGAATTATCCTGTGCTCCATTCCCCTTCTTCCTCTGCAACCTGGCAAGGTATAAAACAACCTACCAATGTTCAGCTATACTAATTTTAAAACAACAACAACATTTACATCTTTTAACAGTTTTACTGAGCTTTCCTTCCAAGCTGACAAGCCATTTACATGAAAGTCAGGAGGGTGTCTTAATCGCCACCCATGTAGTCACATCTTCTGTCTTTTTGGCATTTGTATGCTAATCACACAAAAAGCAAATAGACCTAGATTGGAAATCAAAGATTGGTTGTATACAGGTAATCGAGTGCGTGGATGCTTTATTTAAAGATAGAAGGCTTCTGAACCAGGCTTTATTATTGAACTAAGACTATCTATCCTTTTTGACACTTTTTAAATTAAGTTCTTCCTCTAATTTATGTTTTTGTCAGCTTTCTTCCCATACCTAGTTTTAAACTGATTTTCCCCCTTTTGCTCTGTGTAATTAACTACTGTAAAGTGTGTGTATGTGTGTGTTTGTGTGACAGAAAGAGAGAGAGAGAGAGAGAGAGAGAGAGAGAGAGATTTTTTTTAAGGACCCTAGGAATTCAGATTAACAAATGGGTCATTTGTATATAGCTGCAGAATTATGAAGGCTTTGGAAGCATCTGAAGCGCCAAAGCATTTCACCTGATATACAGTCCCAAACCTACTTTGCCTCAGAATTTCCTCTCCATACTCCCTCCATCTTGTATTCCACACATGTTTCAGCAAGATCGCATCCTTTGGGTATAAAATTAGGAGGTCAAAAACAAACCAAAGGGATAATGTTGAGGTCAAAAACATCAATGCATTTCCCCCCACTGCTTAGAAGGATAAACCCCATGCAGCTCTTGTACCACAATGCAAACAAAAGCCCCTGTAAAGATGGATTTGCACCACCAGTCATGTCTAACTCGTCACAGGCTGCTCAATCTACCTCCTTATTATGGCTAATCCAACCTGGCTCACAGCATGGTCTGCATCCTGTTTTGACTTAAGCAGAGTTGTAGGGAGCTGGTTCCGACGAGTTGAGCTCGGTAGCAGCTGCAGCATGATGACTAGTGGCAGTCGGATAATCAGCTGTGATGTCTTGTTGGAGAAAATTTGGGGCAACGTAATTTCCCCAGTTTGACATCCTCTCTTGCCTATAAAATGTGGGTTGGGATTGGCATTATTTGCACATGATTTTGCTGCTTTTAGACACTGTCTGCTCTCCTTTGAGGAGAATTCTGATTGGAGATGTATTTCTTATGAAGTGTCACAACAGACAGTGTGGTTTGGAGGCAGAAGCATGCAGGAAAAGATCTGTGCCATAGGAGCAGGACCTCTTCCTTTACTCCCAGGATTCCAGTACTACTTCCATAGTTATTTAGTTAATCATTTTCAATAATCATATGTTCTTGGGCAATTAAAGAATACTTGAACGGGTATTGGGGGGGGGGAGGATGACAGTGGAAGATCAATGCTGCCCCATCCAATGTAGAGGTGAAGGAAAACCTTTTTTCATTCCAAGGGCCACATTCGTTTCTCAGCAACCTTCTGGGAACTGCAGGTCTGTGGTGGGTGGGGTCAGAGACAGATGTGGTTGGGGCAATGAATGTAAATTTTACACTTGCAGAGTAGGCTAGTTTCAACACACATTCACATACAACTCTCTACATTTAGGCAGACAAGAAGCATTATCAGAACTCAAGGACATGTTCCATCCATGCAAAAGCGCTCAAGGGGAATGTAAAGCTGGGGAAGGGTAGCAGTATAGAGATAGTCCTGAGCACCAGATACAGAGGTTTGGGGGCCATCATTGGCCCCCAAATCTGAGTTTCCCCACCCCTGCAAAATATGAAGTCAGAAATACTACCCAGAAAGTACTGGGATTTAAAACTGCCACTCTTCTATTGGCACTACACAAGAGTTTGCTAGATTAATGTTTGCAAGCACCTAAATCAGATTATGTTTGTACATGTATTTATATGCAAATATTGTTGTTACATTTGTACTTCTAAAATAGGATATTGGAGCCAAAAAATAAGTATTCTGCATTCAAGAGGAATCAGATCATGCCAAACAAACAAACAAACAAACAAACAAACAACACCAGTTTCTAAATAATACTGAAAATCAGATCATGAATTTTATTCAGTGCCCATGCACTTGGAAGTAGTAGGCCCAAAACATCACCTACTCCCCAAAATGGAACCATGCCTTCGATCAGCGATGGGGATCCTGTGGCCCACCAGATGTGGTTGAACAAAAACTCTCATCATCCTGACCACTCACTGACTACACTGTCAAGGGCTGATGCAAGTTGGAGTCCCACAGCATCTGGAGGGCCACAGGTTCCCCATCCCTGACTTCCAAGCGATGATTGCAGACATAAATTGACAATCTAAAAGTGTGAAACAGCTGTAATCAATCATCACATGCTAAACTGCCATGGATGATTGTCTCTTATCACCTTGGACAACTATACACCCGTCTGAGCCTAGCTGAGGAAGGATAAGCCTGAGACAATTTGACTATCACTGAAGCTATTTTTTTGAGAATTCAGTCAACATTTTTTATAGCAAGGTACAATAAATGCTTGAGTCAAACAAATGCCATTTTGTCTCTTAATACTTAAAAAATCACCCCATGACTAATAGCATTAAAGCAGTATGAGAAACAGCCCCCTTTCATGTTTCTGTTTCAGCAAATTATCACATGGGTGTGATTTTTTCTGTACCTAAGAGCAGACATGGTATTAAAGGGTGCCGTATCTTTTACCAATTGCTCGAGAGAAAAACTGAACTCAGGCATTTCTCCTTCCACTAGAAAATAGCTGGCATGTTATTTCAAAGTTTTCAAAAAGGAGGAGGAGGAGGAGGTGAAAAAGGAAGTGCTTACACAATTGATGATGTTATTGCATGGATATAAGGAAACAGAAATAACCAGCTTAGGAGTTGCTTGTGAAAGTGGCCACAGAATGTAGAAGGTAATTACAGTATGGCTAACAGAAATCATAATAAAACCAACTAAAGGAACAAGCTAGCAAATAAAAATAATGGCAGTAAAAAATATAAAAGAAGCAGAAGAGTAACTAACATATCAGTTAAGGCCCGGTGAACCTCTAAAGGCCAAAAGTCTTTCTAAACAAGCATGCTCAGTTAACTAGTGATACTGTCAAAACCTGAAATTACTCCATTCATAAGTCAAATTTACTATGTTTACTGTCAAATAATGTGCCATGAGCCCTGGCAATGAAATTTAATATTTTCATAATTAAACCAAGATTGGTTATGAGTTAATTTATATTTTCTGTGTCTGAGAACATAACATAAGAAGAGTGATGCTGGATCAGACCAAAGGCCCCTCTAGTCCAGCATCATGTTCACATGGTAGTCAATCAGATGTCAAAGGGAAACTTGCAAGCTGGACATGAGTACAATAGGACTCTCCCCATTCATGTTCCGTAGCAACTGGTGTTCAGAGGCATACTACCTTTGATGTTAGAGTTGTACATAGCCATCATGCCTAGTAGCTCATGAATTTGTCTGGTCCCTCCTCCCAATTTTTACGCCATACTAGTGGCCATCATTACATCCTGTGGCATGAAATTTGGCAATTTAACTAATTACTATTTTTGATGAGGTAAGCTTGCCCATACCTAGTTTTAACTGTAAATAATGTTACCAGCATCTTCTCTGCATGTCTCTGCTGAGAACTGTAAACAGGATGCCTATTAGAGTTCCATAAGTATTTTTAAAGGATGCGGCCCATCTGCCAATCAAGAAATTATGAAGACATCCAACTAATTTATGGGAGCAAGTGAAATTTCCTATCATCATTCACTAGGTCTGAACTTGGATTGATGGCAAAAAAGACACACTGTATAAGCATTAAGGGGAAGGTATTCAGAAAAAAGTTATTACAGTAATCATGTAACACTTAGATGGTTGTGAAGATGCATAAAATATTATTGTAAAACAAATTTTCAGTGTCATTCAAAGTGGAATCAAGTAATTCTGAAAAGTGCTAGGTTCTGCATATGGTTTACCATTCTACTGCATTGGGCCTCTCTCTTGTAGTAGTAGTTTTTATTTTGGTTTTGTGGGTTTTTTTAAGGCAATGTACTGTGCTTCTTTGATATGGACAAATGTAAATAGGTCTTTTCCCAAATGGAAGAGACTACTTAATGCTGTTGTGAGGTCAGTCCTTTCCACTTTGGCCTTACTAATTCAATTTGTTTTAGTCATTCTCAGGCTGGAGAGTTCCATCACTAAAAAAGAGAGACGTCACAGGATGTCACTGTCTTTTCCGCTTCATTGTTGATTTGCTGTCCCCATGCAGTGTTTGTGCTTCATTGCCATGGTTTAATACCATGTGAGAAATAGAAAGTGAGAAAATACTGCTTGACAGCTTCTGTCACAGCATCATCTCTTCATATAATATTCACCTCCGCAGCACAGTCCAGCATTGTTATTTAGGCTGCATCTGCACTACAACACCTGTGTATCCACCAGTTTGGACAATTGCACTGTTGGCTTTGCCTGGAAAACATACCCACTGCAACTGCTTCTAAGAAGCAGTGGGTTACACAAGCACTTCCTCTTGTCACAGTTATGGAATAACTTCATTGGAAAAGTTTCTACACACAAAAGAAAGATAAAGGCAAAACTGTAAAATTACCTCTGTATGGCTTAGTAAAATAGTCACCGAGTTTAATGACAAAGTTTTCAATAGCTCTCATTTATGAAGATTAGATAAATAATAGCAATGAGCACAGAATATGTAATGAAAGATAATACAAAGATAATATAAAGCCGTGGTTTAGTGTTACATGGCTAAGCTACAGCAAGCCTTAGGATGGGACACTCTTCCCACTTCTCTCTGGCATGGCCATTAGGAGATTGGAAGCATTTCCTTCCATTTTAAATTGACTGTCATGTAAGATAGCCTTCCCCTTTATCCATTTTGGACTGTGTTTTACATCATTCCTAGCTACTAGCCATGCTGGCTATGGCTGATGAGAGTTGTAGTCCAATAACATCCAGATGGCATCAGCTTGGGGGAGGTTGGTTTAGAAATACACCCAAACACTATACTGTGGTCTCAACAAGCTGGTGTTGTGAAATATAGTTTCCAAGTTGGCTTGCTCAGCAAACCATAGGCAAGATCACCACTGTCAAGTTCAGACAACATTGCAGGTTGTGGTTAATATAATAGGGAATGAAAGCTTCTCAACTTCTTTTTACAGTTGTTTCATGAGGCGGGAGAAAGTCTGAGAGCCTGAGGCTTGATTAGGGTCATTTTTTTAAATTATAAACTATGATTTTTTAAACTGCTTTGAGCTGCCCCCCCCATCAAGCAGTATATATATATTATGAAATAAAATATTAAATTTAGTGTTATATTTGAACCAGCCCACTGGGCTCAAGAGTCACATACCATCATGTCTTTTCCACAAAGAAAAGACTTACGTTTTCCCATTAATCCTAAACTCATATTTCAGCATGGGCTTCTTGCTCTAAATGCTCACTTGCAAGAAGAATTGTTAAGTATCCAAAACAAGATAGTATGCAATATTAGATTCAGAAATTGTAACTGGAAAAAAAATATCCTGGTCCAAAAAAAATTACTCTGGAACAATGATTAAACATTACATGATTTTTAAAAAAACTAGCAAAATTTGTCTTGGTAATTTGTAACTACTTGAAGTTTGTTTTATGGAAAGGGGAGAATTGGAAAATTAAGCTGCACATTGCTAAAACCAATCCATAATATATCTGAGTCTTGCTAGAGGTCATGCAAAATTGTTCCAAAGGGATATACAATTATGTCACTGAACTGTTGATTTGTATTCCATTCACTGTGTTCTCTCTTTTTTTGCATTTATGTCCCTGGTATTGAGATGTTTGGAATATATAAGAGCGAAGACCTGCATTTTTCTTTCCAGTAACATAGTGCGGGTGGCGGTGATGGGAAATTAATTATGCATCTTGAATACTCTGTAGATATTATTAGTATTAATAACACAAGTACAATATATAAAACTACTACGGTATCTAATGACAAGACCATTAAAATGACAGGAATATAGTGATAAGAGTTGCATCCAATGTCTTCATGTGTACAATTACTATACATCTATGAGTGTCTGTATGGTTTAGAATAGGTCAGCATTCTCATTATGGACACTAATTTTAGGATACTGAAAATTGGTCATAATAATTTACTTTGTCCTTGAAAACAATTTATGCTAACTCAGTTTGGATCTTTTTTTCCTGTGTGAGTCAGTATTAGCGTGCAGCAGTGCTCAGGGTACAGATTCATTTCCCAAGTAGAGGTTTGGTTCAGCTCCCAGTTGAAGTTACTGCAGTAAACATTATTTTGCTTGTTCCTGGAGGTTTCATATAAATATCCAAGAGCCATCAATGAATTTCTTTCCTTTCTTCACAGGCCATGTATGAGGTTCAAAGTGTGATATTGTGTAGAGTGAGGAACCTGGTAAATATCAACAATGCACTACTGCACACTTACTTTAAACCTGATAGAAAGGATGGGTCATTTTAAAAAGTGTCATCTGGAGATTATATAACAAGATATCCAGTTGCTTTCCTTTTCTAATTTTTCAAGGGCAATTTTAAGCCAGGGCCATTTTCCTAATGAAATATGATAAGCGCTATGGCAACTGTAGGCACCATTGTCTTGCTGTGAACTAATGAAACACGTTTCTCCTATGGTACTGTTATTTCCAGTTTAAATTCACTCAGGAATGCAACCTGAGCTATTGCCACTTTTCTTCTTCTCTCAATTTTTCTTCGTTTTAAAAGAAATAATTTTATAGAAAGAAATATTCCCAGCTCCTCTCTCTCCTGCAGCCACCTCCCCCTCCCTCATAAAAAAACCTTTTTCAGGGGTAGAAATGTAAGAAGGCTTTGTTTTCTGCTCTTCCCTGCATTCATTGTATTCAGCAGTGCTTCTGTTCTGCTGCAGGTCATCTTCTGTTGAAAACAACATTATTATTCTTCAAAAATGTGGCAAAGGTACTTAAATAATGTTGTCATTATGTTGTTCCACCCCATTCATTTCAATGCAAAGAAAACACAATTCAAATAATGTAATCAATTACACATATTTAACAGACTGAAAGGAACACAACAGAAAATGGATTGACTTCCATTCCAGACATGGGATGAATAAATCAACACTATCAATTTCTTCTCCCATTTCCTTAAGAATTCTCCACCATATCTAATGAGATACAGGGAGGTCGCAGGTCTTTGAGGAAATGAAAGCAACAAATGTGCTTGGAAAGTTGGGCACTGCCTGATTTGCCTTGAGACGACTTGTTAAAGGCACACTGACTCAGGAGAACAAAGGAGACCCCCACATCAACCTAATCTGCCTCAATATTTGGGATACATATGTCATCAAACATATAGCTCTACTAATGTCGTTTGCTGGTCTACTGCTAACATCAATTGGCATCCCAGCATAATTCACCCCAAATCACCAATTCTACTTCTACACCATGATCTGTTTGTGAACAATGGATTGGGCATATGTACTTAAGAGTTTTATGTCCATCATGCCACATTCCGAGTTCCAGGTCTCCTTCCTTGCTGCCCTAGAAACTATTATCTTTGCCACAGTTTGACCCTACAGAAAGTGAAGTAATAATGTAAGATGTGAAGAG